TTATTCGTACCAGGTTTTTTCAGATCAACTATAAGGACCAATATCGGTCCGGATATATATGTTCAGACCGATTTGGGATATATACGGACCGATTGGTCGGTCTGAATATTACATTCCTGCAGTAGTGTATTAAGGGTTTTACATGTTAAATTTATTTTATTCTTCTTATTTTACTTTATTATTATTCACTTGGACAATTCTTTAGTGAGTCAAATCCAAACAATTGGTATCAGAATATGAAGAGCAAATGTTATTCCCAATGGTGGCATTTGAGATTAAAGGGGGAGTTCTTAATCACCAACATACCTAACCTAGATAGCAGGGAGGTAGCTTTGGCACTTCAGAATGGATTGTTAGATCGCTGGTTAAAAACCCTACTAGTAGATTATCAAAACTTGCTACGGATCGAGGGCATGGAAGTACATTTAAGTTAGAGCAGAGATAATAAAAGGTCCTAGTCCTTTTCCCTTCTAACGGTCAAAAAAACCACTGGCTATTCACAGCCATAAGACCAAATCTAACAGCTATTGTAATAGAGCCATTGGTTAATTAATTGCCTTTTTTTATCTGTTATTATAAAAGGTCCGTGTAACAGCTTAACAACTTAACTCTAATTTTGCCTTTTCTCTCAAAATTTTGAAAGAATATGGTGTTTTGTAATTCAAACTGCATCAAATTATAAAACAATAATTATCAGACAAAGAAATCCTCCCTTGAACCCCTCTTGATCTAATAGTTAGTATTTTACAATTTGGTGTAGATAGCAAAATACTTTCAATTTTATTATCAACCAAGTAAAATTAAAATGATATGAAGATACTGCTTCCATAGCAATTTTTTCTTATTTACAATCATGGCATTTTTTTAATTAGTTTTAAAATATATAGTAATCTCTCCTTGATCGATCTTAAAAGTGCATTTCTATATCGATAGAATGAATTCAAGAAAATTGAGTAGTAGTTCGGTAGCCAAAACACCAAAAGAATATTTTGAAGCTAATCCACCACTGAAGCTTAAAGCATAAATGCTACAAAATTGCATATATGCTTTCATTTTATGATTTTTTTAATGTTAATTATATTGCGTACATATATATTTTTTTCTTTCAAGAAGAAGGGTTGTATCGAAACATTTGACAATAAACGACAATGGGATTTTATAATGTAAATGCTAGTATAAATTGCATGTGTATGTTTTTTTTTATAATATTTTTTTTACTGTTAAATTGAGGACATAAATTTTTCTTGCTTGCAGGCGGAAGGATTGCGATGAAACAAAGCGAAAGTTAAAAAGACTTCTTTGACTTGCTAAATGTAATCTACTTAATTTTCTATCCTATATATTAACCACAGATTCAGATTTCAATAAAGTTAAATTGGCATCCATCACAAATTTCCTTATTGCCGATTAGTTCTGGTACCGTAATTGAATGTCTTGTGCAACTAAAAATATTTATTGGTATTTCTCGAAGCAAAGGCTTTTAAAATTAAAAAGGGCGTTTACACAATGTTTTGCAATAACTGTTGTGTATGTATGTATATATACATTCATATAAATGAGTCCTTATTATATATATATACACACATTAGTACACCTGATCCCGACGATTACCGGGTATCATGCTTTTATTTGTTTATACTCCATTTGCTCAAATTAGTTACCACATTTAATTCATTAACAATGATAAAAAAATTCATTTATTATAATAATTAGGACTTATTTTTCTATTTTCACTCTTATATATAATTAAATGAAAGAATCTTAATACATTTCTATCACTTTGAAGAAAATGATAAAATTAAAATATCAGCATTTAATACTATATTAAAATAAAAAATGAAACAATTAAATTAAATTACACTTGTTTAAAAAGTGAAATAATTAAATCTAACTAATTGTGTATATAAGTGGAAGAAAAATTAATTTAATGATTTAAAATAAAAAGAATCATTTTTAAGTCAACATGCTAGAAAAAATGGTAGATGTGCACATAAAATCATTTAAATACACATATTGTATTCTCTTATACTTTACTAATTTTTTTTTCCTTGCAAATTAACCTAAATATCCTCATCCGAAAATTAATATTAGAGAATTTTATGTAAATATTAATATGTAGATATTATTTTTGTTTACATCCAAGAAAAAAAAAAGAAAAGAAAAAAGAAAACTCATGAATGGGAATAATTATTGATATATAAAAATTAATATATAGATATTATTTTTTTTACTACTGGATCCCGCCAGCAATTATCCATTTGTCAAAATGGATGAGTAATAAAAGTTTTTTTAATGTAGTAGCAGATTACACAACCATGGGTGCACTACATTTTCTCAACTTTCCGACTACAAACCGAGAATCCAAACGACACAAGAATTGTGGTGATTTCATTATTATCTTCAAAGTAATAAATCACCTCGACTGGATTTTCAAATTTCAGACTTACAACTGC